AGATTCATCCTGGAGAGGGTTAAACCAGGCTGCTCCTTGGAGGCAAGGATTCTGAAGCTTCGTCTGACATACTTTGGACATGTTCCAAGGAGGGACCAGGAAGGACATCATATTTGGGAGGGTAAAGGAAGGGATGGAACAAGAGAGGAAGACCCTTGATGAGATGGATCAATTCAGTGATTGGGGTAATGGGAGTAGGTGTGTCAGAGAGAGTGAGATTGGCACAGGATAGAGCAGAGTTTAGGGCTCTTGTACATAGGGTCACTATGAGTTGCAAGCGACTCAACGGCACATAACAAGGGCAACATCATTAATATCACTTGCAAGTAAAATCTTGCGATTACCTAAAAACAGCTGGAAGAGTACACCGACAGAGAACTGCCAGAAATTCAGGCTGGATTTAGAAGAAGCCGTAGCACCAGAGATACAATTGCTGATGTCAGATGGATTTTGGCTGAAAGCAGACAACAGTAGAAGGATTGGGTTTTATTGACTACGCAAAGGCTTTTGACCGTGTGGATCATAACAAATTATGACTGACATTGGGAAGAATGGAAATCCCAGAACACTTAATTAATTGTGCTTAAATGCAAAACCTGTATACCTAGAACAAGAAGCTGTTTCCAAACAGATCAAGAGAACACTGCACAGTTCAAAAGGAAGATGTGTGTGACGGTTACATCCTTTCTCTGTATTAATTCAATCTGTATGCAGAGCCAAGCACTTGAAAAGCGAGACTCTATGAAGAGGAATGTGGCATCAGGTTGGGAGGAAGACTCATCAACAACGTGTGTCAAGCAGATGACACAACCCTGCTGGTGGAAAATACAGAGGATTGGAGACTGCAGCCTTTGATGTGTGCCGCACTTCAACATCAAGAAGACAGAAAGCTCACCACTGGGCCAGTAGGAAACATCATGATAGATGGAGAAGAGAGAGAAACTGTCAATGATTGAATCCTGCGCGGATCCACAATCAACACCCTTGACACCAGCAGCCAGGAAATGAAGAGATGCACTGGGAAAGTCTACAATTAAAGCCCTCTCCATGGTGCTGAAAAGCAGTGACGTGTCAGTTTAAAGACTCAGGTGCACCTGATCCAAACCATCTCTTCAGTTCCTTGCTGTATAACTGAGAGATGGCCAACGAATAAGGATGACAGAAGAGGAATCCAGGCCTTTGAGTCGTGATGTTGGAGAACGAACGACCTGTGGACTGCCAAGAGGGAAACCGTGTGTGTCTTGGGAAAAGGTGAGGCCAGGATGCTCCTTGGAGGCGAGGATAGTGCAGCTTCATCTCACATACTTTGGGTGCGTTGTGAGGAGGGCCCAGTGGTAGAAAAACGACAGCATGCTTGGAAAAGTGGAGGGTCAGCGAAGAGAGGAAGATTCTCAATGAGCTGGACCGACACAGCGGGTTCAAGGATGTCAGACTGGTCAGGAGGGCACAGGGTAGGGTGGGGTTCAGAACCATTGTTCAGAGGGTCTCCGTGAGTCGTGCTTGGCTCGACGGCACTTAGCAATAACCATGAGAACGGAAGGTGTTGGGAAGAATACAGAACGTAGCCTGGCCTCCCAGGAGAACCCACACAGCTGTCCGGGCAGGGAGAGCGGCCACAGTGCACCTCAGAAGTGAGGGTGTACTTGGCTCATGTCGTCCGGAAGGACCAGTTCCTGGAGAAGGACAACATCATCATGCTCGGTAAAAAGGGGGATATGGGTCCTCAGTGGGATGGAGGGACACGGGGGGCTGTCACAGTGGGCGTAAGCACGGGAGGGAGGGCCAGGCCAGGCAGGCTCTCTGTTCCTTGTGAATCAAAACGGATTCCATGATGCACACCCATGTTTATCGCGGCTTTATTCACAATAGCAAGGAGTTGGAAACAACCTAAGTGCCCATCAACGAACGAATGGATAGAGAAGCTCTGGTATATTCACACAATGGAATATTACACTGCACTGAAACACAAGGAACTCATGCAATATTACTCAAAATGAGTGACCCTGGAGGACATTATGCTGAGTGAAGTATCTCAGCCACAAAAGGATAAATACTGCATGGTGCCACTGTTGTAAAGCAGGACTGACCTCGGGTGGGGGGAGACTGAGAAGGATGAGTTCAATAATGTATACTGCATTGAAACAGATGAGGGAGAAAACTGTTTAAAGAGGGAAAAGTATTAGGTATTTTTGTCATGACAGGAGTCCAGAGCGAAGGTTGCATAGTGGCGTGGACCTGGGGGAGGGTTTGTAAAACAATGAAAGAATTTTTCTTTTACTTTTCCAAGAGGGTAGTGTACTAGGGGGGAGGTTTGGGAGGGGAGAAAAGTGCAACAATGAATGAAAGGAAATTCAAAGCGGGGGCGCGGGGGGAGCCGGACTCCATAGCATCTAGAGACAACATCCCACAAAGTATGGGGGGGGGTGTCAAGGAGTAGTCTGCTCTATTTTATAAAGAAGAGCAAGAGTATTATCATATTATCAGGACCAGCGTTCAGTGCATACTGTAGGCGCTCACAGGAGTGTTGAAAAAACTCATCCCCCCAGACCTCCAGGTTTCCATTCTAGACATTCATTTTCAGAGCACCCTGCAGGTAAGCCCAGGGTCCTGAGCTGCTCCAAGGGATCATTCTTGGCTTGGGAACCAGAGAGACCTAGGTTCAAATCCCTGCTCCACCCTTTACCAGCCCATTCCCTTATTCTGAGCCTGTCCTGCCATCTGTGAGATAAAGAGTCAGACAACAGCCTTAACCACGATGTTGTTCATGGCCATCGTGTTAAAAGTGACTCCAGTAGGCTTTCCAAGGTGGTCATTTGCACGGGAGGAGATTGCCCAGTTTCTCTTGAGGAGCAGCTGGTGGATTCGAACTGGCTGCCCTTGGGCTGAGAGTGCAATTTCTTACCCACTGGGCCACTAGAACTCCCTAAGATTGTTAATATGATTGAATGAGACTTAAAACGCACAGCGTAACATTTGGGACATGCATCTTCAGAGACTGATGTCCGGGCGTCAGTAGTCAGAACCAAGTCCGGGGCAGGCAGGGAGGTGCTCAGAGCTGCCAGAGCTGTTAAGCCTGCCAGACTTCAGGTTCAGCCTCAGTTTCCCATATTTGTCCATTTGTTCATGCCACTGTTATTTCTTTGAGCTGTTATTGGGATGCCAGACAGAGGGGTTTGGGGACATAGGTCTTTCTGCCCCCAGTCTCCAGATCTATGTGCTGTTTTCCTGCACCCAGGGGGCTATGCCCCAGGCTTCTAGACCTATGGGGAGTGGGGGTGACGGTCCTATCCTAATATCTCCCCACTTCCCTGTCCCGGGCACCTCCTTCAGCACCTGCTCCTGTTCTCAGTACCCCGTTGCCAGATTGTAGGGTTCCCCCTGCCCCGGGCACCTCCCTCAGTGCCTACTCCTGCTCTTCGTTCCCCGTGACAGGTTGTGGGGTCCCCCTGACCCCTCCACCCCGGGGACCTTCCTCAGCACCTGCTCCTGCTTCCCCGTGACCGGGTTGTGGGGTCCCCCTGCCCCCCTCCACCCCAGGCACCTTCCTCAGCGCCTGCTCCTGCTCTTGGTTCCCCGTGAGAGGTTGTGGGGTCCCCCTGCCCCCCCCCGCCCCGGGCACCTTCCTCAGCGCCTGCTCCTGCTCTTGGTTCTCTGTGACCAGGTTATGGGGTCCCCCCGCCCCGGGCACCTTCCTCAGCGCCTGCTCCTGCTCCCGGTTCTCTGTGACCAGGTTGTGGTACTGCATGCGTAGCATGGCCACGTCCTTCTGGATCTTGGCGATGCGTGCCTGCGACGTCCGGAAGTCGGCCTTCTGCTGCTTCTCCGCCTCCTTCTTGGTGCGGAGCAGGCTGCTGTCCGAGAGCTTGAGCACCTGGTGCAGGTGGCTTTTCAGCTCCTGGATCACGAAGTTCTCCTTCTCCACCTGGGCCGGCGAGAAAAGGGTCCCCGCTCACCCCCGTGCAGTGACCAGGAGCAGGCCAGGGTGGTGGGGTGCCCCATAAATGAGGCCAGCACAGGCCCACCTGTGCCCATCCACCGACCTACAGTGACCATGGTCACCGGGTACCCCACCTCTGCATGGGGGTATCGATTTGAAAGGAGGGTTTGATTCTGTAGAAATGTGCTTTGGCACAAGAGTCCACAATTCAGGTTGCATAGTGGAATGTACTTGGGGCGGTGGGAGGGGTGTGGGGGGATTGTGTACCAGGGAAGGAGTGTTTCTTTTACTTTTGAAAGGGAGGAGCGAACTGGGGTGGGGGGTGCTGGGCGGGGAGAGAAGTGCAGCAATGAATGAATGGAAATCCAAAATCTCCGTAAATGCTCATTAAAATTATTTAAAAAAAGAAAAAAGAAATGTTCTTTGGGCCTGGGAGTGACAGAGGCAGCTGTGCTCTGGAGCAGAATCCCTGGGGTGGTGAAGAAATGTCCCCACAGATCAGTAAGGCAGGATGAGTGAATCTGTGCTGACCTCACATGCTGGGTAACCCCACCCTGGCTGCGGCCATCATCACATACTCTCTCAGGACTGGGCATGACACCCACATCATCATCTCAGACAAGGGGGGACGGGACAGTCCACTTTACTGATGGGAAAACCGAGGCTCAAGGAGGATGCATGTTGTGGTGGAGGTTTGGGAGCTGAGCCAGGGCCTCACGTCAAGCGTGTCTGTCCATCCAGTGACCGAGCGCTTGGCCACCACCTGGCAGAGTGAGGGGCACGAGGGGGTGTGTGTGATTAAGGCCACTGGAAGATCTGGGTCAGCCACGTCCCACGTCGGGGACCCAGCAGGGCTGTCCAGGTGGCAGAGAGGTGACCCAGTCCCTCTTTGCATAATTTCTAGGCTTCATCCTCCCGATCCTTTTGGTCTGAGCTCCCCTGTGACGTTCACTACAGCACCCACTCTTACCCTCGGCGTACTCCTCACTGTGCTGGGGAAGCGTGCGCCTAGTGCCAGAGCCTGGCATTAGGAAGTGCTTGTGGAGGACAGGAATGGGGGAAACCCAGGGTAAATCACTAGAGCTCTAGTGGCATAGTGGCTGAGCACTTCAGCTGCTCTGCAAAAGGTTGATGGTTCAAAGCCACCCAGTGGGGAAAAGACCTGCCAATCCACTTTTGGAAAGATTACAGCCTGGGTTGTTCTACTCTGTCGAGAGCACGGAAGGAAGGCCTGACAATCTCCGTCTATCTAGATTACAGCCTAGAAAACTCACTGGGTTGATTCTCTAGCTCATTGAACTAGATGGCACTTAATTTAACAATCAAAAACCAAAACCCATTGTTGTCAGGTTGGAACAACTAAAATCTGACCCTCAAAAAAACCCCAACAAAACCTGACCCTCCAGCCAGTTTTCAGGTTCCGTAAATCACATGGGAAGATAGTGTCATTCTCCTGAAGATTGGAACTTCACACCTTTGTACTGGCAGCACAATTCCCTACCTGTTAGAGCACCAGAGCTCCCTAATGCACCACCCATTGAAATCATTGAAATCTCCTGCAGCTGGGGCCGCCTCCTTCCCCACCGGCCCACCCCCCACCCGGTACCTCCAAATCCTTGCTCTTGAGGCTTTGTTTCAGTTCCTTCTCGAGCGCCCCGACGGCCTCTTGGTTCCTCTGGTTGCGCTTGTTGATGTCCTGTATGAACTGGGCCTTGTCCCTGGCCTCCATGGGGCTGGTGAGCAGCTTCTCGAACAGGAAGCTGCGGAGTTCCACCAGGCAGTCGAGGAACTTCTGCGCTTGCTCGCTGCGGCCCAGCGCCTGGGCCTGCAGGAGGCTGGCGGCCTGCGGGGTCTGGAGCAGGAGCCGCACCACGTTCTTGGTGGAGTCCTTGACCTGCTGCGTCACGGCGGCCAGGCGGTCCTTCTGCTCCTCCATGGCCAGCAGCAGCTCTCTGATCTCCTTCTCATCGGTCAGCTCCTCCAGCTCTCTGCTCTGGTCGTTCAGGCTCTGGACTTGGTCCATGAGCTCCCTGCCCAGGGCCTTGTGATGCCTTATCTCACTCAGGATGTCGTCTCCCAGGAGGCCCTGCAGGATGTCCTGGCTGGCCACCGCGTCGGACAGCAGGGTGACCATCTCCACTTTGCAGATGGCCTCGTCCATGACGGACATGATCCTCTTGGTCTCAATGGTGGTGAGTTTGGTCCTGGCGGGGCCAAAGAATCTGACAGGGGAGGCCGGCTTGCTGCTGGCTGCCTCTGCTGCCATCAGCTTGAGTTTGCTGATGTCGATGCCTTGGTAGAGGGGGACCACGGAGACAACATCCAGGGCCATTTTGGGAGCGGTCTTGGCCTTTGTATGCCGTGCGACAGTGAGATGGAGGTAACCAGCGTGGTTCTTCCACGGTTAGGGTCCCTAGGCACCCCTGGGAAAAGACAGAGGAGGCTGTTAGGAGAGCCGTGAGGCAGCCCCGTGGCTGGTACGGCCACATCTTAGAGGCCTGCATCTTAGGGGCACTGCAGCTTCTGCACAAAAGTTTGAGCTACAAAGCAGTTCTTGTTGTCTTCCTTTAAGGATAGGTGTGTGTCAGAGTAACCTTTCAACATACTCTTGTTGTCAACTTGAAAAAAACACACAATAAACCCAAAACTTTTATTGTGATTTGGGCAACAGTTTACAGAGCAAATTGGTTTTCCACTCAACACTTCATGCACATTTTGATTTGTGACATTGATTGAAACCCCTATCATGTAACAGCACTCTTCCCTATCCCTCCCTGTGACTCTCGTTTCCACTTAAGTCTTCCTTCCTATTCCTTTCTGCCTTTAACCCTGACATGTGCTGCCTTCTTTCAATATTGTATGGATAATTGTTCTGAGGAGTGTGGACCTCTCTGGTGTTATTGTCTTCCTGAGAGGAAAAAGTAGAAAGGCCCTGGAGGATTTCCAAGGCTGTAATCATTAGGGAGGAAGCTCTAGTGGTGTAGCCCATAAGTTGCACTGATGACAGGAAGACAAGGCCTCTTGGGTGTTTCAAATCCACCAGTGGTTCCAGGTGAGGGAGATGGATACTTTGCTCTCGTGTGATTTACAGCCCCCGTGAAGGGTCAGCAGTGAGTTGGTTCTGGCTTGACAGCAATGAGACAGACAGAACTGAGAGAGAGGGAGAGAGAGAGAGAGAGAGAGATGGATGAAGAGAGACAAAGAATCCTTTCGGAGGCAGACTGCCTCATCTTCCTCCTTCAAAATGGCTCATGGATCCAAACCACTGATCTTTTTTTTTGGCTGGCAGCTGGTGTTTTAAGTACTGTGCTGCCAGGGCTCCAGAGATAGACATACTTAGTGCTGGTGGTGAGTCTGCGGTATGTTGTGATCTGTGCTTCTCCCCTAGTTAGAATCCACCAGTGGCTTCGTGGGAGAGAGGTGGGCGGCTCCCCCCAGCGGCTGATCTGGACAGTGAGCGTGTGGAGGCGCCCTGTGAGTTGGAAGTGATGTGATGGTCGTGAGCTTGCGTTTGAACCCTCTCAGCCAAAGATGGCTATAGGAACTGGGAAGTGGGAAGAGAAGTTTTGGGGAGACTTCCCCCTGGCTTCCTGAAACAAATGACAGATCTTTCTGGCTGTTGGCTACACGAGCAGAGAAAGATGAAGATCTCTCAGAGCCCTTGCCCAGGGTTGATGCCCTGAAGGAGACTTGTAGCCTCTTCAAAAGTCAGAAAACACTCTTCATCTCTAAAGCCACACACTTGTAGTATTTCTGTTTGGTGCTACGGTGATTAAAATGCTAATCTGATCATAAGGTCAGCAGTTCAAACCCACCCAGCTGCTGCTGCTATTATTTT